TTCCTAGCTTTGTGATGAGCTCTGAAGTTGAAGATTCAGAAATATGAGAGGATTACATCAAGAGGTTATTAAAAATTTCATGTGCCAAGATGGTGATTATTTTGAATACGTTTCAATGAAGCCATGAAAAATGATATTCATGGTGACACTTGAGGTAACACCAGTTTAAGACGAAGCCATGAAGCACAGAACAAATAAAGTCATCAGAATCTCAACTGGTTCTTCAAATCTAGGGTTGGCACAGATAAGTGTATATTTGCGTCCGTATGTGTGCATATCAAGTTGTCATTTGAATCCCTTTTTCTTTTTCTTTCTTCTCCTTTTGTAATGCTTCTCCAACATCAGAAATTCTGTGATAAGATTTTCCATAGGGTTTATACATATGCAAGTCAATCATTTTATATGACACTGGATTGTTCTAATCAGTCATTTCCAAGATAAGCGAAGTTAATAAGTTAAAGTATGATCTGAGTTTGAACTTCTATATGATTTTGCTACCCACGATGCACTGATGATGCCGGTATGCTGGTGCGTGCGTGAATGGGTGACTGTCCTTAACACTGTTTACTTATACATTGAAGGCTAGTCTATACTCTCTCTTAAATTATACATTACCAACCATATCTTTCAAGGAGACGAGCAGTCCTTATCTGTCATTATCATCCAAATACAGCTAAACACCAAAAGAAAACAGTTGGTTGCGCAAGACTCAAGCAACCTCATAGAATTGGGAAATGCCATAAATGTACTGTGTATGTACGCACACAACAAAAGCATAAGATTAATGAATGATAACCGAATTTAGTCGAAGGTGAAATGGAAATTAACTCTGGCATCTGATTAAAGTGAAAAGATGGGCAAGCAATCATGTACCGTGGGCTCCTTTCTTACGCAATTAAAACGACAACAGGGCAAGTCGTGTAACATTTGGCGCTTGATTAACGGCCAACCAGTAAAGGACAAAATTGTCTGTGCAGCTGGGATGACAACACGTGGCTTCGGTATGGTGAATCAGCAGACAGCACGGTGATTTTACAAAACGCCGAGTGAGGGTGACGAGACGACTCTCGACTGAAGAATTATTGTATAATATTAGAATATGGATAGATTTTATGGTTAAAATTTCCTATTTAGAAGTATAATATGCACTTATATTATATTATAACCCATAAATGAGTTATTCCGATAATTATTCCCTTGGAAGCGCCTCCACTATAATTACCATATTTCTAAAATGCATTTTAAATATATAGGATAAATTCTTACCAAGTAAGTATTGAAAAAGAAAAATAATAATAAATTTGATGGCGCGTGTAACAACCCAAAGGTGACCGAGATCCACTTGTTGTTAACTTGTGAAGCTAAAATGATTAAAAATGATTAAACAAAATAAGAAAAAAACATCTTCGTCCCTCGTTATGTTTCCTACTTCAAGCTATTCAACGCATCTCAATCCGCTCGCTCGCATATATACATCTCTCTCTGTCTCTCTTAAAAGAGAAAGATAATCAATTTAGTAATTCCAAAGAATCCAATTCCTCTCTGAATTCTTAATACGATTCTCTCTGTTTTCCTAGGAATCGAAACACCTTATCTTTATTGCTTCCTTAGCTTTCATGGCCGATCATTTTCACCTCCTTTTCAGGTTCAACTCCAATCGTTCAAAGTGCTTCACCTGTATTTCTTAAATCTTTTTCTTTTCATTGACTGTTGTTGTTTTGATGGCTGAGCTGCAGTTTGGTAGCATTTGATCGGATCCAGTCGATAGTCTCTTGCAGTGATAAGAGGGAGCTGATTATTGGGCCTTCTTAGCAGGTTATTCTTCTCAATAATAGCGTGGTTTAGTCTTGATTTGGATTTAGTTTGCTAACAACCGCTGGAAATCAATGGCTCCTTATCTTCTTTTTGGATTGAGAAAGTTTTTTTTTTTTTTTGGTTCGAAGATTGAGAGTTGTGTTGAGCTAAAAGATTATATTTTTTTTAATTGGGTTTTCATTTTCATTTTGAATGGCTAGCTTTCGGTTTGGTTGGTGAGGAAACTGAGAAATTTGTATTGCATATCATGATTTCTGCTGTATGTGTTTGAAAAATCGGCCTAGGCGGCCGCCTACCCGGCCTGGGCTGGGCGGGTCGGGTCGGGTCTTCTATATATATATATTCCTTTTTCTATTTAATTTTTTAAAAATTTTGTCCTCACTTTAAAGAAAACCTAGGTAATGTGAGCTGTTCATACTCAATTATTAGATAGCAAATTTCTGTTTATAGTTTATTCGTGCACTTGGTCAGCATTACGAAAATGAAAACCAAAGTGGAATTTTTATTGATTGCTATCTTTTTGTTGGTCAGATTCATATCCTGTGATTGTTGAACCAATACCAGTTGTATTGTAATGCAATCAGTTGATGAGGAGAATAATAAGAAGAAGAATTTGAAGCGTTCAAGATCATCTAGTTACGACATGCCTGTGACTGACTCCAATTTTGCACAAAGTCTTGATGACTGTGTTCTTTTCCCAGTGGAAGAGATTGTGCAATACCCATTGCCTGGATACGTTGCTCCAACTTCAATCAGTTTCAGTCCTGATGATACTATTATAACATATTTGTTTAGTCCTGATCACACTTTGAATAGGAAGGTATTTGCTTTTGATCTCAAAACTTGCAAGCAAGAATTGTGTTTCAGTCCTCCTGATGGTGGACTTGATGAGAGCAATATATCACCAGAAGAAAAGTTGAGGAGAGAGAGGTTGAGGGAGCGTGGGTTGGGAGTGACACGGTATGAATGGGTGAAAACAAGCTCCAAAAAGAAAGCAATCATGGTTCCATTGCCAGCTGGGGTTTGTTCCTCAATTCCTTATTTATGCATTACATTACAGATTTATTTTTTAATTGCTACTTACTAAGCCCGTGAACTTGAAATGGACAGATTTATTTCCAGGATCTTTCCCATTCAAAAGCAGAGCTCAAGCTTCCAAGCACATCAGGTTCACCAATTATTGATCCGCATCTATCCCCAGATGGTACAATGCTTGGTTATGTAAAAGATTGCGAGTTGCATGTACTGAATTTGATATGCAATGAATCTAAACCGTTAACATATGGTGCCAGACCCAGAGGAAATGATTTGGTAAGTTTCCTATACCGGTAATGGTACGTCCGGAGTCATTTCAGTATTATTAATATTTGTTCCAATTTCACAGATGTAGAATTTTCTCAAAGCATGTAGTTCTATCACTATAATTCCCATTGTGTATTGGCTCCATCTATCCTAAAGGAGTGCTAGTAAATTAAAAGGTCATTTTTTCTTTCAGTTCTAGTAGATTAAGGTAGTTGAATTTCTGACCTTTTGCTTGATATGACTCTGGTCTTTTCTGGATTGCAGACTCACGGCCTTGCTGAATATATAGCTCAGGTGAGAATTTCATGTAATAACCTCTTAGCTTAGTCATTCATCATAAAACATAGGCCTCTTTGTCTTTGGGTTGCTTTTTGGAAGTAATTCCTGCTTTTGAGCTCTAAATTCAAGGCAGTGGTCTGATTGCTATAAGCAATCTCAAAATGATGCTTATTAATTCTCAGGAGGTTCAGTTAAAATTATTCTTGCATTCTCAGAGTTTTACTCATTGCAGGAAGAAATGGATCGGAAGAATGGGTACTGGTGGTCCCTAGACAGCAAATTCATTGCATTCACAGAAGTTGATTCTTCCGATATCCCTCTTTTCAGAATCATGCATCAAGGTAAAAGCTCTGTTGGTTCAGAAGCTCAGGAAGATCATCCTTATCCCTTTGCTGGAGCTTCAAATGTCAAAGTTCGCCTAGGAGTGGTTTCTTCTTCTGGAGGTCCTATTACTTGGATGGATCTTCTGTGCGGGGGAACAGATCAACCAGACAGTGAAGAGGAATATCTGGCAAGAGTAAATTGGATGCATGGAAATACTTTAATAGCTCAGGTTCTGAACAGGTCCCACAGCAAACTAAAGATCCTTAAATTTGACATTAAAACTGGGAAGAGAAAAGTTTTGTTGGTAGAAGAACAAGGAACGTGGGTTACCTTACATGACTGCTTCACACCTCTAGACAGAGGAGTAACCAAATTTTCAGGGGGATTTATCTGGGCAAGTGAGAAAACAGGATTTAAACATCTTTATCTGCATGATGCCAATGGAACATGTTTAGGACCTATCACCGAAGGAGATTGGATGGTTGAGCAGATTGCCGGTGTAAATGAAGCTGCGGGACTTGTTTATTTCACTGGAACCTTGGAGGGACCTTTAGAGTCACACCTTTATTGTGCAAAACTATTTACGGATGGAAATCAAGCCTTGCAAGGGCCAGTGAAGTTGACTCACAGCAAGGGGAAGCATGTAGTGGTGCTTGATCATCATATGAAGAATTTTGTTGATATCCATGATTCCCTTGATTCTCCCCCTAAAGTTTTACTCTGCTCCTTGCTCGATGGAAGCTCAATTATGCCTCTGTATGAGCCGTCATTTACGGTTCCAAGATTCAAAAGGCTTCAACTTGAGCCACCTGAGTTGGTTCATTTACGGGCTAATGATGGGACAACATTGTATGGAGTTCTATATAAGCCTGATGAAGCAAGATTTGGGCCTCCTCCTTACAAAACTTTGATCAGTGTGTATGGTGGACCAAGCGTACAGCTTGTCTCTGATTCTTGGATAAATACAGTTGACATGAGAGCGCAGTATCTAAGAAGCAAAGGAATTTTAGTATGGAAGGTCAGTTTCCTTTTATGTTTGTTCTATATCTTACTCTTAACACATTTTGTAATCCCTTATTTACAATAATACATAGATTAAGTGTCGCTGTTTTGATTTCTTTTTCTTGATGTTTACAGTTAGATAACAGAGGAACTGCTCGGCGGGGACTAAAGTTTGAAGGCTCTTTAAAATACAATGTTGGTCGTATTGATGCTGATGATCAGCTAACTGGAGCTTTGTGGCTTTTAGAAAAAGGCTTAGCAAAAGTAGGGCACATTGGGTTGTATGGTTGGAGCTATGGTGGATATCTTTCAGCTATGACTTTGGCGAGGTTTCCTGATGTCTTCCGGTGCGCAGTGTCCGGTGCCCCTGTTACATCATGGGATGGATATGACACATTCTATACAGAGAAATACATGGGGCTGCCTTCTGAGAAGGAAGAAGGATATGAGTATAGCTCCGTGATGCACCATGTGCACAAGATGGAAGGAAGGTTGTTACTTGTGCACGGCATGATTGATGAAAATGTGCATTTCAGGCATACTGCCAGGCTTGTCAATGCACTTGTTGCAGCTGGTAAGTCGTATGAACTATTAATTTTCCCAGATGAACGTCACATGCCGCGCCGGCATAGGGATCGGATTTATATGGAAGAGAGAATTTGGGAATTTATAGAAAGAAAT